TAATAATAATAATATTTATTTGTGTTTTAGTCTTTAAAAAGTTTTTAAGAGTACGGTACCAAAAGTGTTGCAAATTTATTATTATAATTTCTGGACACATTGTTTGAGGAAAATCACTTCTGGATACGTGTGGTTTAGGTAGTATTCTCAAAAGCATAATATGTGAGGTTAAGAAAATACAGATTTCTCCTAAAATGTATAAAATGTTTTCAAGTACAAAATAGAACTAGACCATCCCCAACCCCCAATCGCTGTCAATCGTTACATCTGGGTTCACAAAATACTCTTCTGAGATTGATTTAGTTTCAGTTAGAATTTTACAGTACTTGGGACACAAATAGGCCATATTAGTGTCGAGGATGAGAGCTGCTAAACGGGGGGGGGGGGGGGGGGGGGGGTTGTAACTAATACAAAGACAACTGTAGGAGAAATAAGAACAATAATCTGTAGGCCTATATATTATAAGGATGAAAAATCGTCGCTTTGGTCGTCTAAAACTTCCGAACCACTCAACTTTCGAATTTGAAAAAATTAACGGTTGTTCAGAATCATTTAAAGTATGTACAGTTATATTATTAAGGAGGCTGAAGTCACTATAGTTTAATTTTTCGTTTTTCCAGTAGTTTCGTTTAAATCTAATTTTGGGAAAGTCCGTCTTTTAAGAAACCATTGTAAACAAGTGAGGCTTCCGTTCGCAAGCAGTGGGCACTGTTTCCACAATGACTTTACGATTTATTCTTTGGAGTCCGTTCATCAAACGGGTACCCAGATAGTATAGTAAAAAAAAAAATATTTCATAGGAAAGTAGGAACAAAACCTCACCAGAGCTCCCTCGTTAAATGCGCAATGTTTTCAAGAGCGAGACAGAATTGTGAAATCCCCAACTTTTCACCGCAATCTTTTCATTTAATTTGAAAAAACCCGTTTTCAGCTGTCCATCAATACCCCCCCCCCCTCTTTCCCCCCATTTCATCCCTGTCCCCCTTTTTTCTACAAAAATAAA